CTTCTGCATACTAACTAACGAACAGTGTAATTTTGAGAGGAACTACTTCCCGGTCCATAACAGACGATGAATTTAATATCGTCATTTTCATGGGCTATTTAAGGCACTTCGGATCTTGTTGGGGGAACTCCTATGGGGAATCTCTTTCCCCATAGAAGCCTAGCCAGCGAACCAACGTTGGCCATCTGTTGGCTACGTGCCTGTCCGTTTCCGCTTTCCCTCTCTGAGCTCTCTGTCTCTTCATAGTTTGCGTAATGATGTACATGTTTTGCATTCAATACATCGCTGTGATGTTGTTCATTCAAATGAGCATGATCGATTTTTACAAGAACCCGTAATCGATCGAAAATTCATGTCGATCCTTGACTTTGGACTTTGTAGAATGACTGGTCGCTCTCATTTGAATTTTCAGATGCGAATCTACGATTTCATAGTGAACGTGCGGTGAACTCTTGGCCATGCTTGAAGGTGAGTGGGTAGCCAAGTCATTCACCTTGTCGCTGAACGATTATCGATTATTTTCAGCGATCGATATTGTGCTAATCTCTATTGGCACGATTCTATCATTACTCGCTTCACTCGCTATTCTTCTACTATTTATTGTTAAACGAAGAAAATTACAAGGAAAAACCTATGACTCCTCACCGAAGGTGGCTGTTGCCAAGGAGTAAGTGTTTTTTAAGTTTTAGTCAAGCTGGGGAACCATAAGTGAAGAAGCGAAAAAAGCGACTTCCCCTGGTACGTCCCCCCCCCCAATGGGAGTCTCCCAAAGATTTAGGTAACGCGCGTGAATCAGGGGAAATCAATATTGAAAAAATTTCCCAGGCCAAATACGACATGACCCTCCCTCCAGCGACAAACTATGACACCCCTTCCCCCTGAAAATTCCCAAGGGTACGTGCCCTGGACATAGGTGTTCCCAGCAGAGGCAGCGTGACAGGACGATAATGCGATGTAGACAATATTTTACCACTTTTGAAAATTAACGATGGGGTCCTAGTGAGGCACACACGCTCCATATCCTTAAGACCTGGTAGGCGTGGCAGCGTGATTCAAAGACAAACCCCGCGACTGTATACTACGGATGGCGGCGCTCACTTACAAATACATAGCCGCAAATGATTAAATAATCTCTAGGAAAAAAGCGAAAAAAAACATGGAGAATGCCCTAAGCAGAGACCTGGCAGCCTCGCTGGACGAGTTCTCCGGACCTGCTCGTTTTATGCCAGCAAAGATTATATCCTGCCACCTCTAGCTCAATGATGGTTTCTCCGCGTCATTCAATACTAATACCATCAAACAACGAAAAAAAAACGGAAAACGTGGCGTAAAAACTGAATCTTTAACAGAAATTATCTTTGAAGTCCGGTGGGCGGGGCAACTAGAGAGGCGTCGGATCTGCCACTTGTGAAGGCCACAACGCTTTCGTCACTTACTATGAAGCCGCGAAGTGGGATAATCTTAGAGACTGAGGGCCAGACTACTTGTTTGAGGAAGGACGCCTATGAGTTGCTCGAGCGCGGGCACTGCCTTCAAACAGGCATTGGATGGTTTGGGGTGGGAATATTCCAATCTGAGACAACTGCCACATTGCCTTTTGTTGGTCAAAGGCACCATTACAATTGTCCCAAAACGAAAATATCCCACGAAAAGTGCAGCACCGCCACGCATTTTAGTGAGCTACGCGGCCACGCCCACTTCATCTGGGGGATATGGAGTGAATATGAGCACGATTATATAATGAAAAACCACGACGGGAAGTTCAGCGCATTCATGGCCCACTCTGAATCTTGATGATACTCGTCTATGACTATACGACAG